ACAGGACAGAAAGAAAAATGAGAGAAACAGCACCACCCGAGGGACACAGGTTTGCACACATGCGAAAGCACCCATACATTTAACTCGGGCACCTGTGTGCTGAAACACAGTACATAGATACACAGGGGCACAAGAAAAAAAAGGCACTGCCAGCAGGAACAGCTCAGGCTTTGGGTGGTGGCGTTAAAAGTAAGAAAAAACAAACACACAAACAGTACAGAGGGACGCATGTGCTCATGGACAACAGGCCTCGTGTATCAGTACTTTTATGCACTAAATGAAGAAGCATAAGAACTTCTCAAGGTTGAATGTTTTCTGTGATGCATGCACTCCAGATGTTTTAGCAGCCAGCTAATGTGCAGTTAGGATCCGTTACATTATACGTGCACTAAATGCACATCTTTGTAAGTGAGGCCCAATGATGGAGCGCTGTTGACAGACACACTCATTTTAAAACACTATTCACATGATCCTCACTGCCCTAAATGAGAGTGCAGACACACGCGCACACAGACGCACACACACACAAACCAACCAGCAGGAATGATACCTAAAAATGTTCATTTCAACAGTTAAGTTAAACCTTGTCACTCTTTTTCCAGTGTCTACATAATTCATATGCATTGCAAACACATCATTGGTACATCATAGCCATGTTCATGAAATTTATATATTATTATTTCCTCTTTTTTTTTTTAGGTTGGAAGGCAGGTAGATTCAAGAAAACCTAAACGCATGCCCAGCCCCAGATGTTTGGACCATCATTAACCTGCGTCTACTGTAAATGTGCAAAACAGAATCAGTTTTCCTCACATACACCACCTTTAATTGAACAAACTTTTGTCTGTAATCGCTTTAATCACTCTCGGCAGATGTGCCCCCTCTCTAAGCTTTGGCATCAAAGTCCTGTAACATTTAATATACAACTCCATCAGTGTACATAAAGTGTGTCGATAAAGGTTTGTGGTTCACCTCCCTCGGCAGGCTTTTCTCCGCAGGTGGGGTTCATGCAGTTTGCAAGTGGAATTCATGCAAGTTTGATTGCGATTAAAGTGAGAGGGGAAATGGAAATTATATGACAGTTATCATCTTGGAACATGTCTGGATTATGTGTATGTTTTGCAGGAGCATGGAGAAGGGTGCCAACTGGGTGTGGCTGAAGAAGCACTGACTGAATTTAGCAAATAAGAACAGATAAGCAGGGGCTAAAACGAGCTTGTTCTACGTGGAACAGGGCTATCTTTTTCCTCCTTTAGCTTTTCTCTGTTCCCAATTCATGCTCCCTGAGAAAAAGCCCAGAATGGATCTCGCTTTCTTATACCCGTTCTGAGATTTCGAAACTCCTTAAGAAAACATTTTCTAAGGAGAAGCACGGGTTGCCAGTACTTCAACTCCCACCCTAAATACCTCCCTTAGAACTCCAGAGAGATAAAATAGCACATCTGCTGATAACTGATATATCATTTCCAGGAACAACACAGTATGATTGTCCTTCCATCCCTGCATGATGCAGAAAAAAAGTAATCATGCCTACTGTTCTAATCCTAAGTCTATGTGCAGGGAAGATGAGCTCAGACTCATGCATAAGTAACACTTGCAGTAGCAGCAGCAGCAGCAGCGGTAGCAGAAGAAGAGGGAATCTTTACAAACACCACTTATTATGAAAATCTATCAGTCTCAACTCGAGTTGAGTTACAGTACAGATCTTTCTGTGTGTATGTGTGTGTGTGTGCAAGCGTCCTTGGCACTATTTGTCCCATCAGCTAGAAGACAACACACACTCTGTAGCTTTTTACAACGCTTTCGACTCCCGATCCCCTTCACAAGGAGGCGACGTATGAGGGGTTGTGGTGGCGGTGAGAGGGGCTCATATGCGTCCTGAGAAAGGCTATGCAACCACGTGTGAACATGTGTGCACGTCCGCGTGTATATCTGGAGCTCCAAGAAAAGCTAGTTCGGGCTCTGCTCTGCGAATAGATCTCGAAGGTGTCGGAGTTCAAAGGGTCAGTCTCTCCCTGGGTTAAAGCCATGACGTTATGTGTGACGGGGGTCAGGGGGTATGTTGTTGAAGGGCCTGCTGTAGTTTCTTTCGGTAAACAGTGTATTTTTGCTCCACTGCTCTAATGCGCTCCGCCTCCTCTTTCTGAAGGATGACCAGGAAGTTTTGAAGCTCGGGGACAGAGAATGCATGCCACTGTGGGATTAGGAGGGAAAAGAGAAGGAGCAGATTTATAACACTTCTGGAGGCACTTACCCTCTTAACATTTGCAGCTTAGTAATAAACTTATGCATGTTTTTTTGCCTTCTCACCTCTACTTCTCCGGTCTGATTTTCCTTAAGCACAAAGCTGAGCTGCTCTGGATCTGGTCCCGCAATCAACCTTAGAAGAAGAGGGTGGTCAGAGAGAGGAAGCTTCTGGAAGAGGTCTGCAAAAAGAAAAACATAGCGTTGATATCACCAGTTACTTTTCTGGAAACCACGCGAGCTAGCGGCTGCACATGTGTTGTCCTCACCCTGTCCGTCGCGGTGCGTCTGCCTGTACAACGCAAACTTGCGTGGATCGTCCAACACCATGAACTTCTTCAGCAAGCCCTTGATGACCTCTCCTGTGGTGGTTTGAGAGCTGATGTGGAGCTGCTTCACACTGTCGCTTGGTAGATAGAAGGACGTTCTCGTCTCTGAATGCTCAGAGTCTGTAGCTTCCTGCTCCTTCGGCGGAGCTTGGAGGCGGTCGCTGACCTGCTTGGACGCACCGTCTGAGGCTGACGGGTCCACGCCATGGACGGTGACTGGTCGATTGAGCCTCAGGTGGACTTTAATGAAGCCTGTGTATGAGCCGTCTGAAGCCTACAGCAAGAGAGGGAAAGGTCGTGCATTAATGTGTGCAAAGTAACAAAATGCACCCTAATGATGCTGTTTAGGATCTAATGTCCACCAAACTTGTGGTGGTTTAAGATCTTTCAATTTATAGACAGGTTAATGCAGTGAAACATGGAAATTAGGAAAATGTGAAAGATGTGTTTTTTTCTGAACTTAACAAAAGATAGTTTTTTTTTTAAAAATGAATCTTTAGTTACAGTTATGATTTTTTTTCTAATATAAGTGGAAAAACATGACAGAGCAGTTAGTTATGAAAGACCTACTGCATGAAAATTCACAGGCCTGTCAAAAAACAAACAACAAAAAAACCCACCAACCAAAGCACTCTAACATGTTCAATCTTGTTTGCATAGTTCATGAGAAAAATGTTTCTCGCGGGCAGCAGCCACTTCCTGGTGCATTGCTATTCTTGTGATGTTGCAGACCAGCAGACCAAAATGAACTTTGAATGGTCCCAGGTGTTTGCACCTGTAAGCTAAGTTAAATCAAGGCTTCCAACAGGGAAGCAATTTTTATCATCTCTTTTCTGTTTTTCAAATCATTCCCGTACTTTGTTTTGTTTTTGTTTTTAACAGTTAAAAGCTACATATATAAAAGTGTGTTACTTTATTTGATCAAACTAAGTATTCCGAAATACTATTCCTAATTTAATATTTTACTTTCTACACTACATCCAGGTTTGTTTGGTTGTTTTTAATATGTGTGCATTTATGAAAAAAAAAGGGAAGCTAAAATAATAAGGTTTCATTGTGACTTTGAGACTGAATAGTGCAAATTTACAAATTTGTTTAAAAAACAAAACTCTCACCAATTTCATTCCATTTTCTGTGACTTGAGCGTTATACGCTTCAATCCTGGCCCGCACTTCTTCCACTGATAGGTCTTTTGTCGCTCCCTTCTCTTCTTCCTTTGCTGCATTCTGCTGTGAGGCAAAGAAAAAATTATTATCAGCACTGCACCACTGTCGCAAGTAGCAGGAATGTTTTATCTTTAACCAGCAGATGGTGCCGCTTCAATCTATCCAGAAAAACAAAAAAACGGTCTAATAGTCTTTGCTCAAGTTTCTGAAGAAAGATGAACCACAATCAGGAAAAACCCTTTCACCTTCCACACAGACTTGCAGACCTAGTGGGTGTCATGCTTGGCTCACAAATTAGACTAAAGAGAATCTAGGCCAGTTCCTGCAGGGTGGTCTCTCTTGACACTACCCTGCCCTCCATCTTTGCCATCCTCACACAGAAAAAGCTGACTCTGACTGCAGCTGATGGGCTTTGAATACGCGCTAAAGCATAGTTACACTAGCCCGCAGCTCTGCACGGGGACAGGAAATGTTGTGAATGGAGCTAATCGTGCATTCAGCATCTCAGCGCAAGAATATTGACAGCTTTGCCTCCCTCTTACTCATTTCCCTTTGTGAATAAGGATGAGAACGAGAGAGAGAGAAAGGAAGGATGCAACGAAAGGAGACGAGGGGGAGTCAAAGAGTGGGAGGCAGCGAAAGAAGGGGTAAGGAGTGATGAAAAAGCGGCTGCTGAGCCAGCCTTAGCAACACAGAGTTTGACTAGGTTATTTATAGTACAGTGGGATGCATCCTCTCTATCTCACAATAGCTTTTTTTTTTATTTATGTAAAATTTCCTCCCTTCTACTTGTTCGTTTGCATTTTCCGGGGAGGTGGGAGAGAGAGATTATGTGTCTTTGTGTGTGTGAGAGAGAGAGAAAATGTGATGCAGCTATGGTTTCTAGAGGGAAGCCCTCAGGTTGAAGATGAAGTCACTGTTTCTTTTTTCAATGGAAATGCAATAAGTGCACCCTTATGGTAACAAACGACACAAATAAAAGGACCCATTCTGGCTAAAACTGGGCATCTGGCAGGGGAAACGCTGCACTGCTTATTCTTTTTGTTGCTCTTCTTATTGCGCTACCAGACTCTGCCCAATTATAGTCCCACAATTCTGTAAAAATGCCAAAGTTGCAGCAGTGCAGCAGAATGAAGGTGGCGCCTTTGAGAATAAAATGTTTTACTAATTAGGACCCAAATACGAGTGTTTTTGCCTCATATCTGGATCATGAATGTAAGCATCTCTGTCATGAGGGAATTTGAAGCCTTCTGTTCTGCATCTCACAAGACCCATAAAAAGCCACTGAGTTTACTGACCCAGCTGCATTCATAAAAACATAAATAAAATAAAGAGCACATTGTGCAATCCAAGGTTAGGAAAGGAATCTGAGGGATACGGAGGAGCGGACTCGTATCGAGAATTCCGTGCAGTGGAAAGCAACAAAATGCAAAGAACCTCGCAGGAATTCCTGTGTTTGTATGTGAGTTTATAAATGTATCAGAAGCAGTGCCCTGCCCTGCCTGTCTGCATACCAGCGAGAGTGATCAGAGGACAATAGAGCCGGACAATAGTACAGTTTTCGCTCCTGTGAGGTCGGCAAAAGCCCTGACTGTGACCGGGTCGCAGAGGCGCACAGAGTCTGCAGAGGCATTCCAGGAAAACACATCTGATGGACTTGCACTGTAGATTATTGGCTCCAGAGCTAAGTGTTTCACTACATTAGATAGTTAGATATCTTTAGACTGTAAGTGCTTGAAAGTCTCTTAGCCAATGTGCAAGCACACTTCCATCATCTAATGCATACATGTAATAAGTTATCTGATTATACTGTCTCAGTCTCATATGAAACAATCAGCTCTTGTTGCCATGTTGGTTTTTAAACGCTCCTGTTTTCATAATTTAGATACCACACTTTTACCACATACACAGCTTTTATTATGCTACTTGATTGAGCTTCACTGTGTTGGCGAGGGCGCTTGAGGCAAACCTGAAGCAACTCAAATTTGTTCTTGTTGCTGAATGCATGTGTGAATGTGTATCTAAAAAGCATGAAAAATATAAATAAAATATCTCTGACTGTTACATAAGAGTCTCTCACATACACAGACACAGAGACAGTCCCTCCAAGGTGACGCAGATAAGTGTTGATGCTCTCACTCTTGTGAAGCTGGACAAGAGGTTTTACGACTGCTTGAAATATCACGGGAGTGTAGTCGATATGAAATCATGTATCACACCTGTCTGTGTGTATAACCTGACCAGCTTTTTAACTCAAACTTGTAAGACCGACAACATGACGAGTGATGAGCGTTTTCACAAAAATACAAACATTTTGAACAGTGTGCGATGGTCACATGCAATCACATACATAAAATACACACATGGACCTATGCACACGCAAACTGTCAGCAGTTTGTTTCAGAGCGCTGTCTTTACAGGGTCAAGTGTCAAGGAGAAGTGCAAGCTGATTGTATTTCACAGCCCACAGAGCGCTGTGTGTGTGCCATCACTGCCAGCAGTGCAGGTCTGTGCATGAGTGTGCACTCACACAACAAACGCACACAAACCTAAGCACCAGCATCAAAATAGATTTACTACCACAACTTATTGCATTTTTTTATGATGACTGAAACTGCAGATATCTACGGTTGTTGTTCGTGGTCTCACTGCGATGCTAATTTAGAGCAGGATTGTAGCTCAGTTTTTAATATGTTGTATGTTTGAGTGCAAGCAGTAACAATCATCTGTGCAATGACTAACTAACACGAGAGCTACAGTTGATTCAGCTGGTTTGGATTTAGCATCACTTGATGCTCTGGACTGGGCCCCACAGGTAGCTAGGTGGCTAATAAGGCAAGCTACGTGACACAGTAACACTTGGTTGTACACTGAAGAAGTGAGAGATTTCACGACAGGTTGATGTGTTTGGATCATATCAGAGTTTCTATTAGCTAAGATAATGTAGGAGGAAGTAATAGACACAATATTCTTGTTTTATTAGCATAACACGGTCTGTTTCTGAATAAAAGGTTACAGGTTTCCGGGTGAATATCAGTGTTATAACTCATTTATTTGGACCATACCAGAGAAAAACACACACACACACACACACACACACACACACACACACACACACACACACACACACACGATGGCTGGCTAATCTGGAGCAAAAGGCTCAGCTCTGGAAATAATTCATAGATAAAAGAGTACATGAACTCCATTCAACTGTTTGGATGAATATGTGTGTGTTTGTGTGTGTACCTAAATGCAAACACAATCATAGAGTAAGCTTTGCCTGCACAGTGACACTTCAGTTCAGTTCCTTATGCACAAAACTTATGATAATGTCTCTATTTACAAGATGCATCTCAGATCTTTGCATACTCCTTTTCCATATTCAAACACGAGGATAAACAGAGCACTTTGCTCTTTAAAGACGCACTGCCCCACAGGGCTGCATTTAACGCAAGCACACAATTCAGTTTCTATTGGGTATGTAGACTAGCTACCATGTTGTCTAGCTAACAGTGCTACTACATTATAATTCATATAATATTTCTTGGTTACAGGGCGTCGGGGTCATCAGTCTCAATCAGCTGGCAGCTTCTGTTCTCTCAGATCAGGCAAGTCAGCCTCCTTAGGCTGTGAGCCTGGCTGCAACCCTAACTCCACAACCTGACAGCACAGCTGGTCAATTATTCAGAGATTATACCTTCTCCAAGTCAGACACCAAAGGCAGCACAAGGCAAGGACAGCAAAGAAGGGGGATGAGCAGGTTTTACATGAACACCAACTGTCTGTGTTGGTTTGTCAGGCCGCCTCCCACTTCCTGGTTCTCTTTTCTCTTTTTCGTCTATAGTATTGACAGCGCTGCTTTTCTTTCAAGTGCTACTTTAAATACTTTGGTTATGGTTTGTTACACAATCAGGTCACTGAATGTACAGTAGAGCTAAACTAAATCTCAGGAAGTGTGAAGACTGCCAGTAAAACCAGCAATGGGTTGCTATGGTAACTAGAAAAGTGCAGTTAAACAGTATACACCTACACACACACACACACACACACACACACACGCAGGCTTGCTCTCGTGCAAAAGTATCAGCTTTGCCTCTATGGAAACCTCTCCACTCCCACACACTGTAGAGAAGAAGCCTCCATGAAATCAGTCTGTTAAAAACAAGCAAACCTGACAAGCCAGCAGATCAACGTTGAACAATACAGCTGTATTACAGTAACCCCTTCCTACTTTCTCACACACACACACACACACACACACACACACACACACACACACACACACACACACACACACACACCTAGAGGCCTACTTAACCATGCACAAACGCCACCGCTTCCTCTCCTAACTTCTCCTTTTTGGATAAAAGTTTTGTTTTTTTAAATATAGAAAAAGTGCAGTAGAGTTTGTTTGCCGGCACGATTGGCGCACTGACTGAGCTTGCTCTGATATTAAAATTTCAATTATCAGGTTGACTGTACTCCTGATTCTGTACCTTAGTTGTTTGCCTAGGCTTGCGGAAGAACGAGGTCTTGGCTGTGAAGAAAGTGAAGTCCTCGCTCTCGTCATCCAGGCTGCAGTACCCACTGCTCATGCTGTTACTGCTGGTCATGGAGGGGGTCAGCACTGTGTTGACGGTCATGGAGAGGTCCGAGGACAGCCTCTGGCACCAGAAAAGCACCAGAGTAGCACGTTGGCAGCTCGAGGAAGCGATGGGTTGTCTCGAAGTGACGCTTGGGCACAGTCAGAGTCTACACGCGTACAACTGCCCTTTACTCATCCAGAAATAGTCTGCGCTCCTGTGCTGATGCATCCAGAGGGTTTAGATCCCACCTGCGAGGGCGAAACAGGTGAACTCTGCTTCGATTCGGCACTTTGGGTGCTACCGGAGAGACGACCAGGAAATGCAAGAGCGAGCAACAGACGTGTCACTTCCTCCTGTCATGCGTGTGAGTGTGTGTGAGAGTCACAAACAGGCCATTCTGTATGTGCACCTGAGTATTCTCAGCTAGACATACAGACACTTTTACGCAAAGCTTGTAACTACCTCACACGCACGCACAAACGTAGGCACACGGCGGAGTGATGGAGTCAGCTTACAGACTGGTTTCAAGTTAAGCTCGCTCACCTGAGAGCACCTGTTATGCCCACAAACACACACTCGTTAAGGCATGCATGCAAGCAACACCACATCCTGCTTTGATCCTGCTCTGTGTCTCTGTGAAGACCCACTGAGAAGGAGCGAATAACAGTCCAACTAAAGTCCCTCATGCACAACCAAGTCAATTATGCTGGCATTTATTTGTGTAAGCATCCATCCGTCCCCAGGGTCTTGGGTAAATAGCAGCAGCAGAGCTCCTCGACTGCAGAAACGAGATGCTCACAGATCCCCTGCTACCTCCTCTCTGCTCTCCTTCCCATCGTTTTGACAATGTTACCAAAAAAAGGACAGAATCCTCACACTCAGCTCCTCTCTTTCTTATCCTCTCCCTCTTCTCTCAGCCTGTCTTTGCACCAGCTTCACCGCCTCACTCTCTTGCAACCTTGCTCAACCATCTGTGGTTGAGCGTGTTATCAGTCTGCAAGCGCCCTCCCCCTTCTCCCTCCACTCTCTCTCCCTCCCTCTCTCTCTCTCTTCCTGTAAGCGACTGCACCCTGCAAAGCATGGCCACTTCCTCTCACAGAGGGGAAAGAGAGAGGTATGTGTAAATAGAAAGAAATGCTGATGAGTGAGAGATATGAAGGCCCGTAGCTTCTGTATGACATACAAAACACGAGCACAAACAGGAAGCAGCACAAAAGCCGGGCAAGATGGCTGCTCTGCAACTGATATTTGGGTGCAGCGTGCGACGGTTGACTGGAAACCATCATAACCGCCGTAAATGTCACTTTTATGTAGAACCATCCCGACTCTTAATTTGTCAGCACCGAAACACAGGCAGGGACCGACACAGTACTACAACAAAAAGGTGCACAATCATTGCTGTTTTGGTGATGAGGGATAGGCTTATGGTGCCCACAGAGAGAGAAAGAAAATGAAGAATGATGGCTGTTAGCATAGAGATTACCGTGACCCCTAACCTCAGAGCGACCCTACAACCTGCCCTCTAACTCTGGCAGCGACCCCCTTGCCAAAAAGCAGCCGACGCTTGCTGCTGCTGAGATTGATGTGCCCATCTGTCTGTCGGCTGCTTCAGTGCATGTAGCAAGATTTTAAAATCACACAATAAGCTTTGGGAGAACTGTGGCATGCACCGACAGTGTGTCAGCCTTTTACTGGGGTGTTTTTCATCAGGTTTAAGTCAGCTGATGACTGATAACCTGCAGCTCTGCTCCTCGCTTCCATCAGCGTAATCAGTATAGGAGAAGAGTGCTAGCAGGGGGTGCTGCACACAAACTAGAACACACACACTACTGGTCTCAAGTCGATGAAACCTGGTCAGCGTGATGATCCTTTGTATGGCTGCAGCAGTCTCCGTCCATATAGGGCAAAAGGCGATCAATTTCTGCTGATGTACACACAAAAAGGACTCGTACTAACCACACACATGGTTACAGTTATAAAACAGAGCAATGGAAAAAAGGGGGCTGCAGGAAACAAAGTGTCGTCTCTCCTCTAGCCATTCAAGAGGCTTTGTTTGAAGCACACCAGTCACTAAGTTCATATGCCACTAAAACTGACATAATCTTTTAATGCTGACATGCTGACTAATGGCCTAAATGTAAAATACATAAAAGCAATTTTGTCGTTATTGTTTTGTTCATGTGTAGCTGGACAGATGACCTGAATGTAGGACACCAAGGCAGATGAAGTAAACACAACAGGAACCGGTAATGGCGATTACAAAAACACAGAAACACAAAGTCCAAACAGCAGCAAACCAAGAATCCAAAATAAGAGCACAAGAAGCATAAGGAATGCAGGGGAAAAGCACTGAGCACAAACAAAGGGAAACACAAAGTCCACATGGACAGATGAAGACAGGGCTATTAACCCTCCTATGAGAATTTCAGTTTTGATTTTGTTCTGGGGTCTTTAAACACATCTTTCACTAGTTTTCTTTCCAGTCTTTGAAATCTTTTGCTTCCTAACTCTGCCAGGCTCGTTCTGTACCGTGTGGCTCTCTTCAGTTCTTGACACTTTTTGTGACAACTTTGTATATCTCTCTCTTGTTATATGAGCATCAACAATTCTTTTTCTCAAGTCTAAACTGATGTCTTTTGCTTTTGCCAAATAGAAATAATTTATAATTTCTAAAGAAAACTAGTGTTTGTATAAAATAGGAGCTGGTGTGATGAAAATCCCTTGCTCTACTAAAAATAGCACTTGGGAAAGTTTGACCAAAAAAAAAAAAAAATTCATAATGATTTTGTCCTCTGGGGTTAACTGCAAAATGAGACACTGGTAGGGACAAGGAGCGGGTGAAGTAAACAAAGCACATATAAAACTAATGAAAGGCGAGCAGACAATCACAAAGAAAGGAAAGCAACAAAAACAGGAAGTACATAAAACAACACCACACATGAGAAAATAAACCTTCAAAGTAAAACAGGAAATAACTGAAAGACAAATAAATAACAAACACGCTGAAACAAGGAAAATGATGCTAAACATGATGCACGGAAACAAAATTACACCAGAAACAACTAAAAACTAAGGGAAACAACTGGGACTGTGGCATTTATGTTCCACTAGAGATTTTGATTGAAACCAATAGAGAACAAGTGGTGCTATTGGATCAAACGACAAACACACTTTGCTCCAATTCTGTGCACGCTGTTTTGATCGCATTACTCTCTATGCATTCGCTCACACTCGCTAGATGACCTCGGGACATAAGAGGAGCTGCCAACATTTTGCTGCAGGCCTGCTTGGTTAGCCAGAGTACTCTTGTGCCTGATATCTGTGTGTCTGTGCGTGTGTGGATGGACCACATCGCGTGGGTGACTGTGGATGGCATGCCAAGAGCAGCACACTCACAATCTTATAGGTCCCTAAACACAACCATGTGCTTACACAAAGAGTGAATGAGGCACTATTTTGAGGATGGATTTTACGTAACTACTGTATCACTTGGACGCCTCCGGACTTGTACAGTAGGAGAATAGGAAAAAAGGCTAAAAGCTGAAACTTTGAATTTCAAGTTTAAAACTGTTGATTTCTTCTTTATATAGGTTACTGACTTACCATCATCCATGGATACTAAAAATTACATATTCCTTTAACATCTAAAAACTCTGATATAGAGCAAGCAACAAATAAGGTTCCTGTACACAGAGTTAGTGCTGTGGACAAGGAATGTCCACTAATTGCAGTGTGAGTGGTTCTCCGGCTCCTCCTGTCTGTATGCCGAACTGATAAAGTGCTTTATGGGTGTGTGAATAAAGCCATTTGAGTGGTCAATGCAACTAAAAAGCACTTAATAAACTCATTAAGCAATCCAAAAGTTAGGACATCCAGAAGCAAACCTCTACACTTCTGGAGAGAGTTGGTGGAGAGCCAAAGCTGGGAGAGAGAGGGCGGCAAGAGAAGTCATGAAAGTGGGAGAGCAGACGCTAATGTGACGTAGCATATTTTGTCCTGGGAACACTTTGTGACCAAAAAAAGCAAATGAGTGCATAAATACATTCATAAGTGGAGAGCCAAGGAGGAGAGACCGCATGCAGTCAAAGTGGAGGATGGTTATGTAAAAGTGTGGGCACGGAAGGAAAGAACTCTTCCATTACCCAGCCCTGACTCACGTACACCTCTGCTGCACACGTCAAAGTGCTTACTCTTCCTCTGTACCCCCCCAAAAATGGCACCCATTTCCTGTCATGTCTTTTAAAATACTTACCCTGAACTGAGAGGCTGTGGAGGAGCTGTGCCGTCTGGGAGAAGGAGCTTCCTTGGGCTCTCTGTCCCTCTTGTTGCAGTCAATCTGTACTTTACTTTTACACTCCAGGTGACATGTGTAGCTGCAGTCTGTTGATCACACACACAAAAACAAAACACTCCAGTCAGAGACAAGAACAGAGGCGCAGAACCGAGAGGGAACAGCAGCGAATTTAGTCATGTGGTGATTTAATAATGTGGCCCCTGTGAAAGTGTGAAATGGTGATTAGTCGCATGTAAGTTATAAATGAGACCCAGTTCTGACTTAATCAAAGGTGAAATCATGCAAAAGATCCATTTGCACAGAAATCTGGCTCCATCTAGTGGCTAAGGGCAGACTCACAGCTTATACAGTGTTAAACTGCTAAGAGATTATATGCATGTGTGTAGTGATTCAGGAAAAATGGAGGCATTGATACCTGAACATGTGCTCTAATCAAGCAACTTTACCTGATACTGACTAATTTAAGGCCCGGTGAAATCTGGCTGTCATAATATTACTGCTCAGAGAAGGGATCAGAGAAGTAAATTCCCCTCCAGTGGAACTACATTAGTCAGTCAATAACGAACATGTCACATCCATTAAAAATCAAATGCATAATGTAACACAGTTTTAATGCACCGCAACAACTGATGGCCTTACTCCATTTAAAGGGAACAAATGGTGCAATGCTGCCATTGGTCAACTCCCACCGACCGCCCAGCTAGAAAAGAATAGATTCAACTCCCCCCCCCCTTAAAATGTCCCCAAATAGTCCATCGTTGTTCTTTAATTTCTAGGTGGTTCCGCGTATGTCAGCGTCTGTTTATTTATGCCCTGCTGACTTTATTGTGGTCAGAGACTTTCCCCATTGCAACGCGCAGCCTCAGATCTCACTTCTCCTCCGCTGGTGAGATAATCCATGCACAAGGATATAGTAAAAAAAAGAAAAAAAGATTACTATTATAGAGCTGCACGGACAAAGAGAGAAGTGTATTTTGTGGAAGCTCTGAGTCAGACGCCTTTCATGGTTTTGAGCTTAAAGCTTCATAAAGGACACACAGTGGGCTATACTGCATGCGCTTGGCGAGATCAAACCTCAATCAGCATGTGTTGTTTTCTGTTACACCTCTTTGCTGCAGCTAGAGCTGAATGAGTAAGCCAGGCTGAGCCCTGCATGTTGTTTTTCTGTCTGCTGTTCTTAGAGGAGGGAGGGAGGAAAGAGGAGGGGGGGGTATCACTGCGTCTCTCACACTCAGCATCAGTAACCATAGTAACAAGCTTGTTAATGAAGCGCCTTGATGCGACTTTTGTTGTGATTTGGCGCTATATAAATAAAATTGAATTGAATTAATGACCACTGTTAAAGAGAAGGGCTTTAATGCTGTGTGTGGAGCTTTTCTTATTGGAAAATTAGCTAGCAGTTTCACATTATTATCCGCTACTGATTAAAAAAAACAGAAAGGTCTATGTGGGCATTAAAGACACTGGATAATGGTGGGCTTGCTTTTTAAAGCCGGGCTACGTGGGGAAAAAGTTTTCCCATGACAGTTTAGAAGTCACTTCAGATTGAGACGCCTCTCTGCAGTGACCTCTAAACTGCTGGTGTGTGTCTGTAGCTTCAGCAGAGAGAGAAGGACGTCAGTGCCTCAGCGGCAGGAGGGATGTGTTGAAGCGAGAGGAGAGTTCAGATAGGGGATGCTCTGCTCGTGACACTTTAGAGGTCACTGCAGAGAAAGAGAGATAGAAAGGAAGCACGCAGGGGAAGGAAAAGGAAAAACTCCTTTCCTGCCCTGCTTTTCTTCATTCACTCCCTCCATCCACACTCTGGCTGGCATTCTGTGCCTTTTTTCCTCTGCATTTGGCTACGCTTACACAGAAAAACCACTGCTGGTGTTTGGTTGGGTGACAACTTAAAGACGGACCCCACCCTTTTCTCTGATAAGTAACTGCAAAAGTTGGGACATGCTGAAAGGAAAACAGCCACAATGTAAGGGTGGAACATCTTTCCCTGCTCCACACCTACATGATACACCGCTGTCAGCAAGACGTTGTTCACCTAAACTCCACGTTATTCCCACGCTGATAGCATACCTCTGCCTCGCACATAAACAAACAAAGAATGGAAATGGCATTTCAGCGTTTTGGAGTATTTTGAAAATTCACAGAAGTGTTCCTGTACAGGTTTCAGCACCTTCCTTATCCCATTCTTTTGAATTGTTTGAGCTCAGGTTTTTCTTGTATGTTCAGGGTAAATGTTAAATGTTTGAGCGTCTGCTGGCATGCTGGTGCATGCAGGCCTGGTATTACATGAGACTCCTTCAGATGAGTGCTAATGAGCAGGTGGAAAAAAGAGTAGCAGCAGATCCAGTGAACCAGAGGGTTTCTGAAGGTCATGCAGGCGTGCTGACGTACGCACAGGCAGAACAGAAAGAGTAAGTAGGAGAAGAGTAAGCACTTTTCTTGTGTGAGTTTTCTAAGTAATTGCAGTTGAATGCAAATTGACCCCACCAGCCCCGAGCTCCTCGCTGGGACTTGCAAAAGGGGCTTTCCACTTTCTATTCTGGAAAGTACAGTGCACTCTTACGCCGTCCACTCAGTGGAGAAGTTCCTCAATCTTAAATAGATTCCACCCTGCTGGAGTTTTAGATTTTTGCAGTAGGAGATATTTACAAGAAATGCCATTTTACTTCCATATCTTTATGTGAAATGAGGCTGGAAACTACCTTTCAAAAAAAAACAAAAAAAAACCAAACTTCAACCACTGTCCACATTGGACTCTTCTAAAGCTGTGGGGACTTTTTTTTGGTGCTTTCTCTCCCATCATTACACGGTTCAGGATTTGAATTGTTGTTTTTCCCCCTGTAAAATACTTCTGATTAAATGGGGATGAGGTGGAGACACTTTGCTGGCAGAGAATGCAGAGCAGGTACACGATACTCAGAAACTTTCCTGAGAATGTAGCAAAGTACACTGCCATCAGCCTAGCTTCCTTCTGCGCTATTTCTGTGCTGTTTCAACGTGAAGAAGGGCTCTGGTGTTAAGTGTCACCACGGATAGACCAGTTGAGCTTGGGTCGACAACAGCCGCTGTGAGCAGAAGGAGGACGAGCTCTGATTTGTGAAGTAAATTCTGATCTCAGAGGAGGATGAGGCTGTTTTGTTTGTTTTCATTCTTTCTGGGGGGGGTTTCTTCCTTGTTTAGTTTCAGTTGAAGTACTTTGAGACGTTCCTGTACGCAATCAAAAAAATTTGACTATGCCAAGAATCGGCAGGTAGGGCATGTGGGTGGTTGTGGTTGTTTTTTCTGCGACATGGTGGGTGTGGGAGACACAGGCGTGGGTAAAAACAGAGATTATCAGTGAGTTTTTGGCTATGGAGGATGTCTGTATGGTTCCAGATAGAAACGAGGGGGGGCATATTGTATTTACTCCTCGTCTGGCTGAGGATGAAGGGGTTACACAGGGGTTAGGTAGCGATAAAAAAGGGGCGAGGATATTAACACACTAATGAACCTGAAGGGAGCTCTGTAGGATTTAGAGTAGCTTTGGGGGTCTTTGGGGGGCCTTTAGCTAGTCTGATCCCATCATAGCTGATTTGAAGCAGTTATCCATGTTCTCCTACTGCGTAGCTGTTCTTCATCTCTCGGCACATTGGTGAATAAAAATATTACCGTTCCGTTTTTAATACTTGTCTCCATCTCTGCCTTATTCATAACTCAAACCACCCCTCCATATGCTGCCAAATCGGACATGAACAGATCTAATCTAATCCCAAATCTGAATTTAATCTGACCCTCTTACCCCTTTGACATCTGTTTTTATTTGTGTAAACAGTCATTTCATATTTCGTTCTGACATTTTTAATCTTCATCGCGGCAGAGTCTGTCTTCTCCTCTCGCAAAACTCCCATCTGCGAGGTTACAGATGCTCTGAGAATAAGCAAAACAAACAAGACAGGAAGTGGGCTTTATTTTTGTTTGTTTTTTTTAGTCTGTGTTGTGAGCTGTAAATAAATACAGCTGAATATTTTTGTGGGTAATGATTACATCGTTAGTGAATGTTTTGGAATGATGACAGTTAGGCTGCATGATAAAAAAAAACAAACAGCACATTTTTAAAAAATATGAAGTCCATACATGCATGTTGGCCCCATAAATGTCAAATAAGCAAAATTTCCATATAAAGTTATGGATCCCAACCTAACCATCACCCTACTATTAACTAAATGAGTCCATCTGAAGTGCGGTCATAAATGGATGGATGGATGGATCGATACTACATGCTAAATGAAATACAGTTACAGTAAAGCAGACTGACTGTACAGTATGTCCATATAGGGTTTATTTGAGGCTGCTTAACACATGTCCCCATCTGTTGTCACGAATGTAAAGCTTCATTCTGTGCTGACAACTGAACAAGCAGGCCTTGAGAGTTTTCCCATCATTCTATGGTGCTAATATTTCCCAGTTTCTAATTCACAAATGACTCTCAAACCTCAATAGAAGAACGTCCAGCGTAGTAAACTGCACTAAACTGTGTTCCAGTGAGGCAAAACTTTTAAAATGTGCACGACAGAAGCCTTGATAAGCCACTAATAGCTTGACTCAATGAGCGCTCAGATTTGATACTACTTGTACTTAGACTGAGAGAACAGGAAGATTTTATAGCAGCGCAATAAATTTGACACATTTTCGTAGCTATATGGTGTTTTATATGTTGTGCAGTTTCTTTTTTTTTCATGTTCTGTGTGCTAATGCTTAAAAAGTACTTTATGGTTAATGGAATGGCCTCCATTTGGCTTCTGAGCACAACCTCTGATGGGCTACGGATACACAGACCGAGCCCTGACGACGTGGTTTTAAACTGACAGAGTGCACTTTTTCTAGTTATTTCTGTAAATATGCAGTAGCGCTAAATTATAGCCCCGTGTTGGCAGGAAGAACTGTCAAAAGCCTCCCCTGATATAATTATGTAACTGTGTCTTTTGTTTCAGGTCCGTTATTATATTCTCAGCAGGTTACAGCATCTAAGAAGACGCCCCGGGGATCCTCCACCATTTATAAGACTCTTTGGCAGACAAATATAGACTAAAGATGCAGTAGAAGACAG